CAGACGGCTCAGATCAACACATAAACACACACACACACACACACACACACACACACACACACGCTGAACTCTGTGTTAGTGAATGCATGTGTTTATAACTCTGTGTGTGTGTGTGTGTGTGCTCCACAGATCCAGAGGGACGCCGCGGCCGTCCTGCAGCCGTATTTCACCTCCACCGGGCTGGTGATCAAGGCTCTGGAGCACGCCTCAAAGATGGAGCACATCATGGACTTCACCCGGCTGCGCTCGCTGGGCTCGCTCTTCTCCATGCTGCACCAGGCCTGCAGGAACATCGCCCTGTACAACAACAACCATCCCGACTTCCCCATGCCCATCGACCAGCTGGAGAAGTACATGCAGGTCTGTGCAGCGTGTCTGAACACTTCTCAATATGAACCCCAGTCACTCTGAATGGATTGGAGTCATTTGAAATGAACCAGACTGACTCTTGAGTAAAATGGAGTCACTCTCATCTCTCAAGTGGACCAGAGTCACTCCGAATCACTCTGACCAAATCTGATTCACTTTGAACACATTGAAGTTGCTCTAAGATTCTTTGAATGAATCTGAATGATTTGGATTAAACCAGACTGACTCTGAATTACTCTTGAGCAAATCTGAGTCACTCTGAATCACGTATAGCAAACTGGAGTCATTCTGAATCTCTCTGAATAGCTCTAAATGAATCAGACTATGAAACACTTTAAATGAATCATTCAATCTGAATAATTTGGAATAGATCAGACTGACTCTGAATTACTCTTGAGCAAATCTAAATAGAAAGTGGACCAGACTCACTCTGAATAATATCTAGCAAACATAAAACGCTCCTAATTTATCTCCATCACTCTGGCTAAACCGGAGTCACTCTGAATCATTCTGGGTAAACCGGAGTCACTCTGAATCATTCTGGGTAAACCGCAGTCATTCTGAATCACTCTGGGTAAACCGGAGTCACTCTGTATCATTCTGGGTAAACCGGAGTCACTCTGAATCATTCTGGGTAAACCGGAGTCACTCTGAATCATTCTGGGTAAACCGCAGTCATTCTGAATCACTCTGGGTAAACCGGAGTCACTCTGAATCATTCTGGGTAAACCGCAGTCATTCTGAATCACTCTGGGTAAATCGCAGTCACTCTGAATCACTCTGGGTAAACCGGAGTCACTCTGAATTACTTTAAATGGGTTGGACCCACTAACAAACACTTAGATGGATTCGTTAATGTGAATCATTTGGAGCAAAAATAGATTCTGAATCACTCTTTAGCAAACCTGAGTCATTCTGAATCTTTCAAAGTGGACTCACTTACATTTGGTAAACCTAAGAACTTCCTGAATTGATTGAAATCATTTAGAGTATAGCCAAACTGTTCTGAATCGCTCTTGAGCAAACCGGAGTGACTCTGAATCGCTCTGAATTAGTCAGAGTGATTATAAAACACTTTGAAGGAATCAGTCAATCTGAATAATTTGGCATGAACCAGACTGACTCTGAATCACTCTTCAGCAAACCTGAGTCGGTGTGAAATCTTTCAAATGAACCAAACTCACTCTGAATCACTTTTGACAAATCTAATCCACACTTAATTGATCTGAATCATTTGGAGCAGACCAGGCTGAATCACTCTTGAGCAAACCTGAGTTAACCTGAGTCCCTTGTAGAAAACTGAAGACATTCTGAATCACTCTGACTCGATCTGAATCGCTCTGAATTAATTGGAGTCACTATGAAACAATTTGAATAAATCAGTCAAGCGATTCAGACTCGCTCTGAATTACAGAAAGCAAATCTGCATCATTCTGAATCCCCCTAAATGAACTGAAGTCACTAAAGCACTTGAACCAGAGTCAATCTGAATCATTCAGAGCAAACCTGAGTGAGTCCTGGCAAACTGGAGTGACTCTAAATCACACAGAACCAGTGTAAACACAGCTGTTCATGTTTGACTGATCTCATGTGTGAGGACATGATGAGTACATGCTGACACTGACCTCCTCCTGCAGAAATATCTGATCTACGCCGTGCTGTGGTCGTTTTCTGGAGACAGCCGGCTGAAGATGAGAGCAGAACTGGGAGAATACATCCGCAGAATCACCACGGTTTCTCTGCCGTCTGCACCCAACGTGCCCATCATCGACTACGAGGTGCGGACGCACACACACACTTCTGCTCAACAAACCCTATGTGTGTGTGTGTGTGTGTGATGTAATCTGCTGTACTGTGTGTGTGTGCGTGTGCGTGTGCGTGTGCGTGTGTGTGTGTGTGTCCTGTGCAGGTGTCCATCACGGGCGAGTGGCAGTCCTGGCAGGGGAAGGTGCCCCAGATCGAGGTGGAGACCCATAAGGTGGCGTCCCCTGATGTGGTGGTGCCGACTCTGGATACGGTGCGGCACGAGGCTCTGCTGTACACGTGGCTGGCGGAGCACAAACCGCTGGTGCTCTGTGGCCCGCCGGGCTCTGGAAAGACCATGACCCTGTTCAGCGCACTCCGAGCCCTGCCCGACATGGAGGTGAGCGCACACCACGGGGAGACAGGCTTCTGGCAGACACTGCTGGAGCTCAGGGATAAATCAAGTCTCCGTTTAGTGGAGCTCAAAAAGCCAGCGGGATCATGAGTGTATTTGCTGTACACGCTCCTGCTGTCCTCTGTGCTGCTGTTGCAGTTTAGTTGGAGACGGTCAGAGAGCGTTTACTCTCAGCAGCTCAGATTATAGGAGCAGTGCATATCTCTGACTGCTGAATCAGAGGACAACACCGCTTCACGAATCCTCTATAATTATTCACATATTAGAGACTTTAATAAAAACATTGTGTTGTGAAGAAGAACTCTAATTCTGTACGGAAAGCATCGTCAATGCACCGACATATCCAGCTGAACCCAATCAATGGCGTGATCATCTGAACCGAACCGAACCAGTGTAGATTTACACTCCTATTAGATGGACAGAGTAAGAGTGATGAATGAATCCCTCATGGTGTGTGTGTGTGTTGTGCGCAGGTGGTGGGCCTGAACTTCTCCAGCGCCACGACCCCAGAGCTGCTGCTGAAGACGTTCGATCATTACTGTGAGTACCGCAGGACTCCTAACGGGGTGGTTCTGGCGCCGGTGCAGCTGGGCAAGTGGCTGGTGCTGTTCTGTGATGAGATCAACCTGCCGGACATGGACAAATACGGCACACAGCGCGTCATCTCCTTCATCAGACAGGTGTGTGTTAGGGGTGGAGTGTGTTGATGTTGCTAATACACACACTATTTTAATAGATGATGTGTAACTCTGTCACAGCAGGCGAGCAGACGTCAGTTCAGTAGTGTTCTCCATTAATGTCTCCTTCCTCTTTAGCCTCAGATTAGCCTCAGGCTGCTGAATATGAGTGTTCTGACGCTGCTGCAGGCACACGTGTGTTCAGTCTGAGATGCAGCAGGAGATCATGTGACCAACATTAAAAACAGACGGACACACATGAGAGCGAGTGATGAGGGTGGATGAGTTCTTCAGCTGCGCAGGAGACCTGTGAACCGTCCCTGCTGTGTGTGTGTGAGGTGTAACCTGTGTGTTCCTCCTGCAGATGGTGGAGCACGGCGGCTTCTACCGCACCTCAGACCAGACGTGGGTGAAGCTGGAGCGGATACAGTTCGTGGGGGCCTGCAACCCCCCTACAGACCCGGGCCGCAAGCCACTGTCATACAGGTGCAGCACTGATAGACACACACTCACACACACACACACGCACATACACACACACACACACACAATGTCGACTGTGTAAAGCAGCTTAATCTAGATGAGGAGAAGTCAAGTCAGAATATTTCAGATTGAGGGAATGGTTGCAGTCTGCTCATCTGTGTGTGTTCCTCCTGCGCGTGTGTGTGTGTGTGTAGGTTTCTGCGGCATGTGCCGGTGGTGTATGTGGATTATCCCGGGCCGGCGTCGCTCACACAGATCTACGGCACCTTCAACAGGGCGATGCTGAGGCTCATCCCGTCACTGCGCACCTTCGCCGAGCCGCTCACCGCCGCCATGGTGGAGTTCTACACCATGTCTCAGGTGCGCAGACACAGAGCTGAACACAGAGTCTGCTATGAGCACAGCACAGGGTCTGCAGTGCGGAGTCACAGCGGGTTACAGATGCGCAGGAGCCGCCGCTCACACTGCACCAAAATACATAGACCATAGGTCCAAATACCTAGATTAGGTGTTTTTATTTATTTGTATAATGAAGACTGTACAGTGTTATTTCACTTGATTATCGGGCTCCACAGAGGATCTTTTAATAGAGCTGTCCTAGATCAGTCCTTCTGGGGACGTTTCATTGATATGGTGATAACATACTGCAGTAAATATTGCAGGTTACTCCAGTGTCGTGCAGGGCTATGCCTGCCTCTTCAGTCTCTGAATGCTTGATGTTCATGTGGAGCGGAGATGATCAGTGTGATATTGTGTGTCTTCTGAACAGGAGCGCTTCACCCAGGACACACAGCCGCACTACATCTACTCCCCCAGAGAGATGACCCGCTGGGTCAGGGGGATCTTTGAGGCCCTTCGGCCCCTGGAGACGCTGCCGGTGGAGGGCCTGATCCGCATCTGGGCTCACGAGGCACTGCGGCTCTTCCAGGACCGGTGAGAAGACCTCACAGCCCCAGAACCAAAGCTACAATTACTCTATAGTTCCTTCTTTAATTCTTCTCAGATAGTGCTTTCATCAGAGAGCTGTCAGAGTTCTGAATACACACACACACACACATTCTCTTTGAGCCACAGTTGTGTACATGAGAATAGAGAGAAAAACAATTAAACTTAGAGAAAATGCAGATCAGCCTGAAAGAGAAACTCTGTGTAGGGAATGATCCACTACATCAGACTCATTACACAAAGCAGATCAGCTCTGTCAGATCAGATTGATCATTCCCAGTATAAAATAAATGTTGTACTCTGCAGACTGGTGGAGGACGAGGAGAGACGCTGGACAGACGAGAACATCGACATGGTGGCCCTCAAACACTTCCCCAACATTGACCGCGAGAAGGCCCTGAACAGACCCATCCTCTACAGCAACTGGCTGTCCAAGGTGAGCCATGATGACCAGACACTGATGATGATAGTATGACCAGGCGGTAATGATGAGACGTCTGTAATGATCAAGCGGTAATGACAAGACTGTAGGGTCGAAACTGAAGTGACGATAACTCATTAACAACTAGATAAGGTTTTAATAAGGCGTTAATGGTGCAATTGGTAAAAACAGACATCAACAACAAGATGTTATCATCATCTGGTTATTAACATGTCAGTGTTTGTCGTCTCATTTTTGCCATCTCATTATCATCTGGTTATAAACAAGTCGTTAATGACTAGATATTAATAATGAGATGTGAAAAACAAGACTGTAGTGACCTGACGGTAATGACCAGATGTTAATAACCAGACAGTAATGACCAGACATTATTAACTAGACGGTAATGACCAGACGTTAATAACCAGACGGTAATGACCAGACGTTAATAACCAGACGGTAATGACCAGACATTATTAACTAGACGGTAATGACCAGACGTTAATAACCAGACGGTAATGACCAGACGTTAATAACCAGACGGTAATGACCAGACGTTAATAACTAGACGGTAATGACCAGACGTTAATAACTAGACGGTAATGACCAGACATTAATAACTAGACGGTAATGACCAGACTTTAATAACTAGACGGTAATGACCAGACGTTAATAACCAGTAGGTAATGACCAGGCGTTAATAACTAGACGGTAATGACCAGACATTAATAACTAGATGGTAATGACCAGACGTTAATAACTAGACGGTAATGACCAGACATTAATAACTAGACGGTAATGACCAGACATTAATAACTAGACGGTAATGACCAGACATTAATAACTAGACGGTAATGACCAGACGTTAATAACTAGACAGTAATGACGAGACGTTAATAACCAGACGGTAATGACGAGACGTTAATATCCAGACGGTAAGGACGAGACGTTAATATCCAGACGGTAATGACGAGACGTTAATATCCAGACGGTAAGGACGAGACGTTAATATCCAGACGGTAATGACGAGACGTTAATA